ATCTTCAGGTACTGCCGACAGCCCCTCCCCATGCGCTGTGTTTGTGAGTGTGTGTGTTGAGCACAGAGCGTGTGTCTGTGTAAGCGATATCCATCTCTGAATACCGTGAGTAATCACTTCAGCCGGGGCCCGTCACGGCTAGCCTGTTTTTTTTTTGTACTGCCATCAGACATCCATCCACTTCAGCCGGGAGAAGTTTCCAGAATGAGCTCATCGCCTGTTTACTGCCAGTGTTTGTTTCTCTAGCACTTTGTCGCTGCGTACCAGGCTGGGTCCACCCACAGCTTGAGTTTCGCCTCTCCGCCTTTATCTCTCTTAAAACAGCCTGGGGCCAATCCGTCGCCGACAGCTTAGCCAGAGCCACTCCTCCAGGCCGTCCTCCCCGCCCAGCCGCCCCCCACCAATCCCCCAGTGTCTCTTTTTCCACAGGCCCTTCTCACAGTGGACAGGGCCCACGTTTACATCCAGATCGAAAAAATTGACCGTCTGTGATAAACCAGGAGTCAGGGTGAGCCATCAAGCGTGATGCTCTATAAAATCAGAGGGTTTGATCTGTCCTTTTTCATCCGGTGTTTTAATGTTTATTTGTGTTCATTTTTGTTTTGTAGAGCAGCAGAGATCTCTTGCACATGTGAGCTCCGCCTGTGTGGACTTCCTGCATGTGATTGTCGAGGAAAATTAGGAAAGATGCCACACACATGGAAATACATGTCACCTCGCTCCATGGAAATGTGATTTATTTATTTAGCTGTTAATCCGGCTCGGGTCGCTCTGTGTGAGCGTATGTGCTGTCTGACCCCCGGCCGCACTGCAGATGACAGGGCTGGCTGTCATCGATCGACCCCACCCATGTTCTCAGACGCACACCACCAACAAACACACTCCCATGTCAAATGGGGGCACGTGAGGATGTATAGTGAACAAAATCGTACTGCACCCCCCCGGCAGTCCCTATACTACTGGGGCTTTTAGGAATCGCTTTAAAGGCTCCCGAAGGGAAAGACCATCAAAACAATTTGGGGGAACTGCAAGTGTGCTGTCATCTCTGGGGCCTTCAAAGGAAACATCTCAATGGAGAGCCCACCGTCTGAACGGCGAGGGCTGAGGTACCTATTAATATTAAACAGGCTTTAATAGAATCCCAGCCAATAACAGGAGGGGGCTCTGGGGCCAATGGAAACCTGGCAAGAATATTGAATTTGCATACATGTAGGGAGGCAGAAGCCCTTAACAAGTTCTCATTAGGTGTAAATGAGGAGGACGTCAGCTGGGGATATTGTCCCAGTACCTGAAATGCAGATGATTATAATTGAATCTCCAATGACATAAAGGAAAATGATGGAGATTCATGGCACTTGTGTCAGGGGGGTGGTGCCAGGGGGGATTTTATTTGTCAGAGCAACATCGCAAAACAGATGGGGGGAAGATCTGCGGGACGGTCTGATATCGCAGTGCCACAGTTTTACTTTGCTGTCCTTGTTCACACATCCTTAGTGTGGGGACTGGGGGAGTAAGCGTGCGATCACAATCGAGGGCAGGTGCACCCTGCGCTTGTATCACAAATACAGCACTACTTCCATTATTGTCACCGCGGCCGACGGCACGGCACAGCCAGTGGTGGCGTTTGTTTGGGGGTGCCTGCTGGTTATTTATGGTAAGCCTTGTAGAGATAATGAGATGCGGCCCGGCTCGAGCGTGTAGGCTGTCCTCCGGTGAGGCGAGCACCAATCAGCAGCGGCACACTCCAGGAACGAGATCCCCAACCGTGAAACAGGCCTGGCGCTCCACTAGCCTCCCGCCAGCGGCTAATTGCCCAGAAGCGTAATTGCTTTGTTTATCGCGAGCGTTTCTTTATTTTCTTTAAGCGGCCCGCTGCCCAGCCCGTGAAATCCGGCAGTCGGGGCCCCACGGCGGCACCGGGTTCCAGCGGCTGGGAGATGGAGGTGGCAGATATGGAGGCAGGCAGCATGCGAGACGGATTACCGCCGATGCCATTCTCCCGCTTCTGATCCTGAAGCGCTCGCTTTGTCTGTCCTCGTTGGGCCATTAATTTACGCAGGAGCTTATGACTTCAAGATAATAACAAAATAAAAAAAAAACATCTTATCTTCCACGCCAAACAAACACTGCTCCACGCTACCTGCACAGAGGCCGGCTACTCCCTCAGCTACCCAACGTAACCCCTTCACTCACTTCAAAGCCGAATTCGGTCTTAGCGGCTTATCTGGCCTCCTGTAAGCTGTCAGCTGTGTGGGTCTTTTTGTGTGTTTACGCGCTCTATCTACCTGCATACATCACAGATAGACATATTATCATCCTCTTGTGCAATCGCATGGGCTGTACTTATTTATGGAAATCCACTTCTATAAGAGATATTTTTTTTCCCTGCATAGAGAGAATGATCTAAGCCTTCCGTCTAACTGTATTTTGGCGTTTTTTGGTTAAAACTCTCACCATTCTGTGGAAAGTTGTGAATAAGCCACTCTGAATTTAACACCAGAGTTAATCCTCAGCGGGGGGGGGGGGGGGAGAGAGTGGTGTTTTGCACTGACAGGAATAACGATGATTGCAAACTGCAATAACTTCAAATTATTATAAGTGAATATTTGCTTGATTTGATACATGCACAAACACACACTGTACGTGTGTATCGAAATGCCTTTTCTCACCTGCTTCATGGATTGCACTCCATCAATCCATCCATCCATTTTCTGTGCCTACTTATCCTATTCAGGGTTGTGGGGGGTCTGGAGCCTATCCCAGAAACTATGGGCATAAGAAAAGAAATAATCCAGGATGGGGAGTCAACCCATCGTAGGGAAGAAACACATGCATGCACATTCACAGCTACATCTGCAAACTCCACACACAGTAGTAGATTTAACTCTAAAGGGAAATGCATAATGCAAAGAATAATCATCTGAAAATAAATAATAAATAATAACATTAAATGACCCACAGGTGTGATATATTCTGTCTAGACAACAATTTACATGATAAGATGTTTGGATGCACCAAGCGCAGTTCTACCAAACGCAGTTCCACCAATTGCTCCACAGTGAAAAACCCCAAGCTGGACACATGTACAAAAACACAGAGACAACATTAAATAACGGCCTTTGCAAGTCAGTGGTCATGTATCTGGGGGGCGAGGCTCTAAGGGGTCTGTTTGAGTTGTTGTCAGCCGGAATGGTCACGGCACTTCACGGCGCCAGGAGGGGGAGGGTGTATGCTCGCCCGGCCTGCTGCCGCTTGGGTTTGGGCCTGACTTACCCATGTAGCAGCCAGCCAGGCCTGCAAGCTCTCTGCCACCGGGGCTTTCCTGTGAGAATATGGGGATTGTGGGAAAGTGGTCACCTCGGGGAGCAGAGAAGGCCTTCATGCCCATTGAGGGGAGCCAATCAGATCATTCCCCCCCCTTTTTAGCCAATCACGTTATTCCGGGTCTTCACAATCCATGTCCGGCGGCCAGAAAGCGGCAAGGCGAGTTCAACAGCCGAATGGCGAGGCCGACCCGGCTTGTAATCACTCGTGTTTGTAAATAATCTCGCTGTTGTCGCAATCCCACTGCGGTCCTTTTGGGCCGACTTGGACACGAGGGGGCTCGTTTCTTAATGCTGAAAGGGAACAACAACGGAAAAAAAAAACAGGAGATGATAATGAGAGGTCCATCTGAAGAAAAAAATCCCCCAACATGCCACGTGAGCCGCTTTGTAGTGCTTATCCCCATAAAGAGGGACGGGGGGGGGGGGGAGCCTTATTTTGCATGATATTAACCACTTGAAAGAGCGCAGTTATCGAGGACGGCAAAGTCTCAGCGAAAAGGCAGCGGAATTAGTGGAGAATAAAAATGTAAATAAAGGCAGCGGCGTTATCTGGCTAAGCGCTGTCAGGCTGGCCATTGTTTGTGGACGTGATGAAGCGCTGCTTGCTGGGCCGCTCACGCCGCCACGCATGTTTCCCTTAATTTGAAGCCCATTTCTATGACAACTGTTGACAATTTATACGTATCTTTTTGCTCTGTTCCCCCCGTTTCCCTCTGCAAAGCTGGTTGTTGCCTCTGTGTTTATTACTCTATAACCCCATGTACTTTGTGTTCCTGTACAAAGCCATGACAATGTCTGCCAAAAGCCTTGCCATACCTGTCAGCGAGGAAATCCACAGCCTCTTTTTTGTTTCTTATTCTAATTCCCTGTTAGTTTTCTCCTCCGCGCCCCCTAATCTCCACCCCCCCCCCCGCCCCGGAAAGCACGGTCGCGTAAGCATGTGAGATGACACGGGATGGGGGCTTACCTTGCTGTGAAACCGAATCCATTAGCCAGTAGCGACTCCAAGGTGAACCCGTAAATAATTACCGGGATCAGTGGGAAACGTTGTCAGGATGTGGTTGTTTGCAGCCACATTCTGTGTCGCAACGTTTTTTTGAAAAAAGAAAAGAAAAACCCACAAAAGTATGGCGCCTTCGGGATGGCGTATCCGGATGGGGTCGGCGGGCTGGGCTGCTTTCGGCCACATCTCTTACAGCGCAGAGCAGCGTCTCTCCACGTAACTGCGGTGGACCAGAGGTGCGGGATGCAGCTTACCCTCCATTCCTATTGCACTGACACTTTCACTCTCCAGTAAATATTACTAGGGCCTTTCCAGGTTGCAGCTCGACTTCGTCTTTAGAGAAAAGCCCCAGGAAACATTAAAAGCGAAAGTGGCCGACACCCTCCTCACGCTCGCGCGACCGCGTCGGGCCCCGGGAGGAGAGTGGAGGTTCGAGCCACGCAGCAGATGGTGCAGCGTAACCACCAATCTGAGCAGATGGTTCGGTAGCTGTGTGCGGACGGCTGCATTTGACATCAGCCACCACGAGGAGAACACCTAACACCAAAGGCCCACCGAAAGGAGAACAAAGCCTCTTGCTCGGCAGGGAAAGTGGCATGTAAGGTGTTTTTAAGGTGTTGCGTTTCCTCTCTTTGATCAGATCCCACAGGAGAGTAACCAGCTGGTCCGAATGACAATGGCTGACAGGCCTGACTTGCTACAGTCTACACTAAGGTAACTGAAACCCATTAACCTTCATATATTTATGAATCCAAATTGTTAGAGGATGGATGGATAGATGGATGGAGGTGTTTGCTGTTCAAATAGTCATTGTTTCATGATAAGAGTCAGGTCTGCTGTCTTGGGGTGCAGCTGGGGAAGTTGTCCCAGTGGGGGCAGCAGAGCCCTAGGTGGGAGGGGTTATGCATCGTGGGGACCTGGTTAAAGTAATTTTTTTTTGGGTCATGGGCCTGATTAGAGTGAGCATTTCCATCACAGCAGCATGACCCAAGCTCAGCTTCCATGCCCCCCTATCCTCCTCGGACGCGTCCACAGCCCCTCCTGCTTTCGAACCCGTGTGCCAGGGCGTGCATCTGCCTTCCTGATTATTTGTGAAATGAATGATCTTCGGAAGGAAACAGGCCTTTTTAACATTAAAATGTCAACAGCAGCGGTCAGGTTCACCCCAGAACTGTTACTCTATCACACCCGCTGAATCTGAGGGGATATTTAATTGTGAAACACAAAAGCGCCATGCTACATTTAGGTGTAATTTTCAACCATGCAAAGGTAATTTGTTTCAGTATTTGTGAATTAATTAAACACTAACAATGATGGAGAATACTACAGAATATATAATTAAGTGCTCGTCAAAGCGAGATTGATTTACTCTGCTTTCATTTCCGTTCTTTTCTCTTTCTTCCGTTTTGTTTTATCTCCCCCCCTCCCGTCCCTTTGGCTTCTGAAATTTTTTCAGGTTTCTAACTTAAATCTGCTGTTCTTGGTTTACATTGGGGGGGGGGGGGGGCTGTCTGTGTTAACCAATTACCTTGTCACTGACACGGATTTCTATAGCGCTCTGATTACAATGACAATGTTGAAATCCCCTCAGCACCTTCAGAGTAGATCAAAGTCAAATTAATGCCAACGTGTCCCGTGTAAATTACACCGCACCGGAGAGTCCAACGCTGCACCATCGACGTGCACCACACTCCCCCGCAAATCAGTCCCTGCGTCTGTGATTGTTTATATAAATACACTGAATCGCACTGTATACACATACACACACGCACACCTCCCGGCAAGTCATGTAATATAACCTCCTTTCTGGGAGCAAATTCTCGTGCCGGTTGGAAACACTTACAGAAAAATGCGGCCTCTTTAAGCGCCTGTTTAATCTCCCTTCTCCGCTCTGTATCATCTTTCACACATACAGCAGGTGGTATGATAAATAAGCCACTGACCCAGCAAGCATGACTCTGCTCTTGCTACCTGGATATAAATACCGGCTGCCCACCGTAGTACACTCACACGTGCAGCTTATTATTATTATTATTATTATTATAGATCTATCTTCTCAGTGATGGTCTTGGTCAGGGTTACAGGGCCGGAGGCCTCCCAGGATGGAATAGTAGCCCATTGCAGAGCACACACACTGTCATGTAGTTTGGGCAATTTCAAATCAGCCATTAGCCTGACTGCACATCTTCGGTTTGCCGGAGGAAACCAGAGTACATGGAGGAAAACTCATGTGACACGGAAGGACATGCAAACTCCATGCAAACAGCAGGGTCACGATTTAACCCTCCAACCCTTGAATGGTGAGGCCACCATGCCAGTGTGTAATTATGATTACAATGAATAATTATTATTATTATTGTTATTATAACAATTAATCGCCATTAATAAATATTCATTTTATAATAATAATAATAATTATTATTATTATTATCATTATTGTTATTATTATTATCCCTCTTTGTGGCCATGGCTTCTTGGTTGTGACCCTGTACTGCAGAAATCATTATTATTAATAATATTCTCAACAGTAGTAGTAGTAGTATTAGATATTATGTATTTATCCTGGCATAACTGTATGAATAGAATAGTTTACAGGATCTAAACAACATATATGGAAAATATGTACAAGATAACATAGTAAGATAGAGGCGGGCAGATGGAACCCGACTCCAGCGGACAGTCCGCGTTTGCGGTCGCTGTCGCGCTTGGGGGAGCCGCGGGGCGGATGCAGCGGCACCCGACGGCTCAGGCTGCTCGGGTTCGGGGGGGCGGCTCCCACCACACATGATAACCCGCTCGGCTAATGATGCTGCGGCTCGTGGGCAGATTGACGCTGCGGCTCGCGGGCACATGCACGCATTTCCGCATTTCTGCGTGCGCGTGTGCATCAGCTTATAAATGAAGACGTGTGTTTGTGTATTTGAGTGTATTTGTATATGTGTGTATAACGTGCCTGTCTGTGCGGCAGGAGGCTGGGATGACTGGAGCGCACCTTTGGCCCCGGTCGCATCCCCGACGTGTCATCCATGGGCGGGGGGACACAGGTGTGTTCAGAGCACTGCAGTTCCTAGGTGGGCTTCTGTAAGTGTGGGTAATCTGCGTAAGCTTCGTTTTTCCTTTAATGTGCCTTCGTCAATTTTAATCTGCCTGCCCCTTCCTGGTCCGTCCAGGCTCATGGCAACCGACAGCGCCGCTTCTGGAAAAATCCGAGCGGTGCTGCTCCCCCGCATGCTCGCCCCTACCTTGTGTCACTCTGCAGCTGTTTTGCTCCGGGGGATGGGGGTGAATCGGGGGCGGGGGGGGGGGGGGGCACAGCGAGCAGAGCTCCCCCACCGGGGAGAAGACGCCTACCCCCCCTCCCCAAAAACCGTGTGGCAAGCCCAGGCCCTCTGGGGGCTCGCGGCGGAGCCCCGGCGGCGTACCTCGCGGGGGGGAGCGCCTGCACTCGTATGCCAGGTGTCACCATCACGGAGGATGCCTGCAGCTGAGGCCTTCAGGGCCTGCAGCTCCTCTCCCTCACGCTCACCTCCCTGCACGCCTCCCCTGCCCAACTTCACTCTAATGACAGTGTTTTCATGTTGTTTGGTTTCACTGTATTCCTGCTACACGCGGTGATGTGTAGCCCAGCGGGTTATGGATATGGGCCCTTGTCCACGATGTTGTGGGTTCGAATCCCATGGTTGGGAGAGTAATTATATCACTTTTTTGGCCCTTGAGCAAGGCCCTTCAGCCCAGTTGCTCCAGGGCGCCCTGTGTTTTAACCCCAAGGTGTCCTCACCTGTTTGTCTGCTAAAATGCAACAGGATGTAGCTCAAACAAGTCCATCCATTAAATATGATTTGTATATTTTTAATGCCTATTTAGAAAATCCCTCAGGAATTAAAAGAAAGTGCTGTAAAAATTGCCAATAATCCCATATAATAAAGCTACCATTTTCTCTTGACTCTTCTGCTGAAGTAAAATGTATCTGGAAAAGCACAAAGGCATAAAAATGAAAAGAAAGACTTTTAAAAAGAATATCTTAAGTCGTTTGAGTCTGGCTGACATTTTATAAGATTGTAAGCTGATAGGGGTCAGCTGAGGTTTCCTAACACAGGAAAAAAACCAGCCGGGAACCATAACTCAGCCCTGAAGCAAACATTGCTCAGTAAGGGACCGGAGAATGCAAAGGTAAACTTCAACATGGGTTCCATTTGCCAGCCCTGGTTCCTCACTGAATTAAAGAGGATGTAGAAACGGTGCTGATGTTGCAATGGCATTTGTGCTGCCTGGCTGATGCATGCTGGGATAGCACGGTATACGGTGATGGCACGCGTTAGCCAGTGATGGTGTTTACCTCCCGTTTGTAGTGCCCCAGATGCACGCTTTTCTGGCCAGGTCCTCATCAAACCCGTAGAATCCGTGATGCCCCGCTCCTCCCCCACTGCCCCCCCGAGTCCCACGGCCCTACCAACGGCGCTATTGGGACTGTCCCGTTCCGCAATTATCCTTCCCCAATCAGCCCTCGCCTTAATTGAACATTCCCCCGGTGGCGCCGTACTCGCGGGCCCTACCTGGATTGCACTGTTCATTATCTGTCAAGGTGACTTTGTGGGCCGATGGCATCTCAGTGGGGGGGGGGAGGCGCCTTGGCGGAAGGGAGCCAGAGGCTGTTTTTCCGCTTCCTACTGAAGTGGGCCTCTACAGTGATGTTAGGCCCCTATTTTGACTGGGCGTCTGGTCTGAGGGAGTCAGGGTCGGGGGGCAGTGGGGGTCATGATGGCAGACTAACAGGGGCCAGGTGGCTCTCCCCTCCCACGCCCTCCCCTCCTTGCCTCTGGTCACAGTCACACGTAATTAGCACAGCACTTCAGCACCGCCAGTTCCAGGTCGTTGTTAGTTCTTCCCAGGATGACGAGTGACGCGCCAACTTCCGAACGCTTCGCCTGGCACGGCTGCAGACCCCACCTATGGGAGCATCGAGTGCGATTGTGTCTCAAACCAAGCATTAAACTCCTGGCTATTCTCACAGCTGTGGTTCCCTGGGTTGCTTTAAGTCAGAGCTAGATAAGATTTTAACAACTCTGAGCTATTAGTTAAGTTCTCCCCAAACGAGCTTGATGGGCCAATGGCCTCCTCTCGTTTGTAAATTCCTTATGTTCTTATGTGTCTTGCTGTTTTTGCTTACCGCTCGCCTCCCCTGCCTTGCGGTGTCTTTCCGGGTTCCATGCTTGGCTTAGGGCACAGATATTCGTACGACAGCGGGGATCCGCCCAGGCCTGGAGTTACCCGTCCATTCATTTAATCAACCTGCTCCCCGCATCCTCCCTGCTTAGAAAACACCTTCAGAACAGAATAAGAAACACCAACATCTTTAAAGTGATGGAATTGATCTGTATTTTTTATTTGAGGAAAGTATGGGGGGCAGTGAGGTCCATGTTGCTGTGCTAAACAGGAAAGACTGTGATGCCAAGCGTAACCAGAGGGACTGAACTGTTTCAGCCGTTCTGTGATTAGCGAGGCTGCCTCTGAATTCTGTGTGCGTGAAGCATGTCTTTGTTAACTGAAAACTAACTGGAAATATGTTGCATTATGATATTAAATATCTCTTTCTTTTTGGGAGAAGACTCTTTTATTCTGAAAGAATTTGTAAAAGTGTAGGACATAATGTCAGAGAATTTTCCTTTGGTGGCTGATTTGCACAGAAACTATTTCCGTTCCATTTGCATTTCGAG